GGTTTATTTTGGTTAATTCTCTAAAACAGGGGTTATTTTTTTTTTTTTTTTTTTTTTTTCTTTTTTTTTTTTTTGGCAGCCCTGCAACCCTCTCATTTTCAAAACACTCACACACACCCCCTCCCGAAAAAAAAACAATTTTGTAAAAAAAAATTAAAATGATAATGATTAAATAATTTAGTTATTGCCATTTTATTTTATTTTAATTAATTAAATTTGTAGAAACAAGAAACAAATGTACCAATACACTTCATGCGCAAACACAATTTCACAAGAAAAAAACATTTACTACTGCTAGTCAAAATGTATAACAGGCTAATTTTATTTAAAAGGCAGCAACAAGTAGCAATAGCAATAATTAAAAGTTTCTGGGTCTTCTGCACTTCTGGGGATGTTTTCAGCCCTGATAAGAACCACTGTTCTAGAGAAATTTTTCTGACGCAGTTGCAGTATTTCGATGTCTATGGGAGGTGATTTTTTTTTTTTTTTAAGGGTTTGAAAGGGACAGAAATGGGCAGAGATAATTTGTGAATAGGGTACTGTGTGCAGAAGTTGGTGACGTTATATTTGAGGGGATCTAACTTTTTGTGACGATTAGTGACGATGGTTGGAGAGGGGGGGGGTCAAACTTTGCGTGACTTCATATATGGATGGCCCCCAAGCTGGCTAATGAAGAAGTAAATCTTTTTTATTTTCACACCTGCAGCAGAAGTTATTGATGATCAAAGTCAATTTGGAAACCAATGTGATCACATGATGACAGTATTTTTGGCGTGTGTGAGGGCGGGGGAGATTGGGGGTAAGTTCCGCCAACAAGAGGTGCCAGAAGATCGTTTGACAGCGTTCGGTGACTTTAAAAAAACAACTATCAAGTAGTCAAGTAGTATATTATATGTGCATACACATTACTGTTACACATAATCACATAATATATCTTTAAAAAAGGTAGGCTTTTTTGTAGCTACAAATGCATTGCAAATACAAATTGACCTATATACATGTATGAGTACGTATTTTACAAATGATTTTCAACGATGAATAAATGAATAATGAGTTTAAAAATGATACCCCCCACCCAAACGCTCCAAAACCTTGTTTTTTCTTCAAAATTGAAAAACATTTAGAAAATTTCCTTGAAATCATTTCATGACGTATTAAAAGCAAGCTTATTCTTCTTTCAAAAAAATAAAATAAAATAAAATAATAAATGATAATTAAATCAAGTAAAAGACATACAGGAAAATTTTGAGATCAAATAATATTAAAACAATTGTTGTTTCATTATAGTTTTTTAAGTGCGAATTTTGTTATTGAAACTCGGGAAAAGAGGTTTTATTAATTTCAATTGTAATGAAGAAAAGAAAACGTATTTTAACTGTTTCTACACTTTTATATCATTTTGTTACATTTAAATAACAAAAATAGTTACAATTGATGAGGAAAAGTTAGTTTTAAAACTATGAAAATTCGTTGTGAATTGTAATTAAATGATATTTATGTCTCCCTTCACGCATGCGCATAGAATGTTTGTAAATGGTGTTGATTATCTGACCTATGCGTGGATGAATGTTGACTGATTGTCTACAGCTTTTGTTGATCTGTGTTTAAATATATATATTATAAGTTTATGCGGTCAAAACACTCAGGTATTATGGAGGATTTGAGTCTTAGTTGTGAACATTTCTCAATTTTAATGCTCATGTCACTTTAGGCTATTTCTCTAAGAAATCAAAGCTTTCAGTTGTTCCTGTCTGCCCCTCCCCCTTTTTTTGCTTTTCAATCAATTGGGATTCTGATTGTCCCATACAACCCCACAATTCAGACCAACTCCATAAATTATTAATTTTTCGAACATAGAACTAATAAGCTTTTATTAAAGTCACTAATAATTATTTAGGTCTGGACTTCCAAATTTTCATGATTCTACTCTAACTCAAACTCGCTAATGATAATAATTTACTTTATCTCAGTAAATTTTGGGTTTAAGGTATGGGTTTTTGCCTAAGCACAGTGACGTCACTTTGGGGAATCCCAACACTGGACTTCGGGTGAATAGACCTATCAATTGTAGGAACCAAACGATGTGTGTGATAACATTCCTGTTCTTTACTGAGCATTACTCGCGTCATAAATGATACGGCTAATATGAAGTATATTAAAATGAAATTTGTATTAAAATTCAACTTGCACGTTTCAAAAGAAAGGAAAAAAGAATAACATCCTTGCTGATATTCCAAGACTTAACACCGGGGGGAAAAAAGACGCACGCCAAAAGTAATGTATTTTGAATAGTTGAAAATCGAAACACCTGTATGTTAAAACTTCGGTAACAAAAAAGAGACTACTGCTTAAATTGCATTTCGAATTATCTTCTAGGTACTGGGGAAGGGAGGGCCCCCTCCCCACTTTAAAAACCCAAATAATAAACAAAGAAATCCTAGACCCCTCTCCCAATTTCAAAAATAAAAAATAAATAAATAAGAAAACAAAAACTTGCATTATGTGAATACAAACATTGAAATCTTTTTATTATGGTGCTGTAGATGGAAGTTGACCTGGGGGAACCTCTGTGACCTATATACCTTGGAACACATCGCCAGCCTTACCGCTAACCCAAAATCAACCCTATATCTCATACTAGTCATACTCATATCATCGACAAACCAACCAAATGTTTAAAAGTGACTCCAATAAAATAACTGTCTATGTGTGATTATGATGCTCAGCATGTCTTTGAAATGGATGTCTCATTTGCTATCTGCACTGCAGTCAAAATTATAAAATTTTGTATTATACACCCTGAAGAAGAATTGATTATAAAATGTAAAAGAAAATTTATGTCCCATCTGCCATCATAGTATAGACTGTGAACAGTCTATTAGACAATATAAAATATATTATGATATAGGCTTAACTAACTAACACACATACTCTGGTGAAAGTCTGAGATTACTCTTTTATGACCCCGGCTAGTAAACTGGCTACCAGCTCCATCTGCTGAGCTGAGCCATACAACATTTTCCTCACAAAGGGTTCTCCAACCATACTGGCTTCCCCCGGGACATCCGGTAAGGGACATTTGGTCAACAGGTGCGCTAGTGTCTCCAGGACCAGGCTGCTATGCCGGCAGGTAGGATCCCTGTTGTTGTACTGTCCAGCCGCCAGAAGTATGGGGCAATGCTCTGTACGCATTTGCGACACCAAGCTCTGCTGTCTGCGGCCTAACCCTCACCATGGGTCTTGTTTGCTAAGAGTGGGCAAATTTGAAAAGACGCCTCTGGCGGTCGTCTTGTCTGCCCATTGCCTGTACCATTCATCCTGAAGTGGTTTCCAGCCATGTATTTATTCCCAAATAAGTTATTGGCCTAACTATGGAGGGAATGGGGTGGTTGAGCTATTTAAAATGTTACAAAATAATTTTTGCTGGGACATAAATTTCATGGTGAGCAAAGTTACTTCATTGTAACCCTTTCGATGTGAGGCAAGAAGTGTCAACAACTTGCTGTCACCCCCTTCCTTCGCATAATTTGTTCTGGTACATGCACCTTTCCCTCAACTAAAACACGCGTGCTGCTACAGTTACACACTGTGGTAAGAAAACTGTAAAAATGAAGAGAAAAAAAATAATAATAATTTTAAAATAATGAAAACCCAACTTACAGTATCATAGAATACACACTTTTACAAACTTTTTTTCAGGTTCTTCAAGAAAGAAAATCCAAAAGTTGTCAGAAAATCAATACAATACAATACTTTATCCCTTTTCTAAAATTTCGGAAAATGTATATATTATAATTACACAACTATTGAAATTTTGTTTTAAAACGTTCCGTTGTTGTGTTAAAAAATAAGTTAAGTCTTGTAACAACACAAGCATAAACAAAAGGGAGAGAATCCTACACAGACACACATCATGGTGCTGATTGCCGAAATTGACAAATGATTTAATTGAAATTAAATACTGATAGACCTACATTAATGTCATTACATAATTATTATAAAATTAGAGGCCCACCCCAAATACTAAAGAAAATTATTGTCGGTATGCTACATTTATGCTTATTATAAATTGCTTATATTTATATAAATTATAATACAATAGCAGTGATACCCAAAATGGTGGTCCAAGGAGTGGGACTTATATTTTATCAACATACTCCCAGTTGTTAGTCAGTAAAAGATGAACTATTTAAGCAGATTTAAAATTACAATAAATAATTTGGGCACTGGTGCTAGTAATTCTAAAATAAGGCTTATTCATAATATTCTTGGACCATACAACAATAAGAATACTACCAACTAAGCTAGTCATTAGTGGTTACTATGCAAGTAAAGCAAGCTTCATAAACGGCAATTACACTTCAAGAAATAAGATTATTCTCAATTTAATAAGAAACACTATTAATATTGATTGCATATCTTTCGAACATTTTGAAAAATTATCTTTAACCTGAAAACGATGAAATCTGGCAATTTTTTAAGTATTTATAAATTTAATAAATTATCTTTGTGAAGGCTCCTGCATGTTGCTTTCTTTGAGAACTGAACCAAAATACAAGCTTAAGCAAGAAAACTTTTAAAATTTTAAATATACACAATAGTGAATTTTATTAATAATTACATACATCAATTTATATGCAAGACTGTATGATTATGAAAGTAGAAGTTGTTCAATTTTTAGTACATTTAAATATAAAATAAATAATTTACTTTTGATAAATATATTGATAATTATAAAGATACTTACCAACATAATGTCAATTATTTAAACAGGGTTCTTCTTCTTCTATATATTAAGGGCCCACAATCAATTTATTGATCATTTTGGCTCCTATGCATGTGGAAGGGATTTGCAATGTTTCTGTGCCTGGTGTTGATGAGGGTATTTCACTGACTGCATGTGTCTAGTGTTGTCGCCTCAACTGTTCCTTTTGAAAGCTTGTTCTAGTCCCTGATTGTCCTATGCAGGAATGAGCAGTTCCTATGCTGGTTTCTTGCTGGTATGAGCCAGAATTGCCTGTCATGGCCTCATCGCTGTCTATGGGGGAGCCAATGGGGCAATTTTAGGAACCGAACGATGTGTGTGATAACATTCCTGTTCTTTACTGAGAATTACTCGCGTGATAAATGATACGGTTAATACTGCCAGCAGTTAAGACCTTAATTCACATTTTTTTCTACACACTAAGTATATTCTATTCATTATCTCATCTCGTATTCCTTGCAACTTTCAAAATATCCATAATTTAGCATGTCTTTACTAAATGAGTTACATAATGCAACTTTTATCTGTTTTAATGAAGCATATGAGGATTAATATTTGGCAGTTTTCAAAACGATTTATTTGTTTCGTTTAGGATTATGATGTACAATTTAATATAAATAATATGTAATATTAGTAAATTAGTTTGTGTCATTTCATTAGCATTTTACTCACTATCTGATAACAATAAAACATACATTTAAAAAAATATATATAACGGTATGATGTTTTTACAAAAATGCATCATTGAATTTATTGATTAGCCAAATCAACATTTTAATGATCAAATATGAGCTGGTACTCTTAGCTGGCCATCTAAAGGTTTTTAATCATAAGAATTTAAATCAACTATGAAACCAGTTTTTCTTGTTCCAATTTTGCCAGACACTGGACAATATAAGCGGCAATCATGAGCTTGACCTCTGAACTGTTGGAGCTCAGTCAACACTTGCAGCAGGAACACCTGTTTGTGTCAACTGAGCGGGAGCAGCTGCAGCGATTGTATCTCAATGTGACTCTTTTGTCAGAGAGGTTATTTCACAATGCTTGGATCGCCAGGCAACAGAAGGTTAATCTCCAACAGTATTTGGATCAAGGAACCAATGCAGGAGAAAGTCTAGAGGTCAGTTTGTGGAAGTCCCCCTTTTTTAAAACTCTTTTGGCAAAATTGTTCATCACATTTGGAAGCAAATAAAATAGAGGCTATAACAAAAGATACTGCTCAATTAAATTTCAGTTTTGTTTCATAATTCCTTATAAAAATGATTTTTTAAATTGTTAACTGGTAGTATACAGCCTATTTGTGTAAAACAGTGTGATGTGTCAAGATGGCCAATTGCTTCTGATTTCAGATAAATATTTTTGACCATACTAGTGATCATTATAGGTTTTAGTTAGTGTTATTTCATCCCCAACAAATGTTGCTTTATATTGCCAACTAGTCATTTCCAACAGACTACTTTAATCAATCAAAGCTAGTGACCACTCTTGGCAAGATTTGTAACCCATACATCTTGGTTAAGAGGCAGGAAATGTTACCATTGCAACATAGTGTCTTTCATTCCCTTGACATAAGTTTTGCTTCACTACAGCCAATGTGTCAGTGCCGTATTATTTGAACTAAAGTAGCGATATACGAGATCGCCATGCCCCAAGTGGCAAAGGAAAACATTAACTTACAAATGAGAGTCAGTTTAGCTATGAAGCTGCTAAATTGTTACCCACTCTTTACTTTTGTTAAAGTATTGGATCAACGTATTCATAAAACTGGTTTCAATTAAGAACTATCTTAAGGATTTTAATAGTAGGTTAATTGTATTTATTTTTTTTCAAACCTTTTATTTCTAGGTTTACAGTACCAATAATCAGCTGGAAGAAACAAATTTTGTGGATTCTTATAAAGTATTCAGCTACCATGACACCAAGTATGGAGACCTTCTCAAGTTTTTATATGAGAACCCCCATGTACTGGCATCACTTATATGTGTGGCTGAAAATCTTGGTGGTCTCAATGTTCCTAGAATGATTAGCCTGACAGTGACCTCCATCTACGGGAACTGTATCTTCCAGGAAGATGAACAGGCAGTACTTCGTCTTCTGAAAACACTGCTGGACACTCAGGTGGCCAGTGATGAGAATCCCAGGAGGCTTATCCGCCGCCAGAACATGTCATTTTCTCTAGTGTACAAACACCTTTGCGAGAGTTTATTCTCAGCCAGGCTTTTTCTAACGGCCGCCCTCTATGACCCCATCATGAGACTCCTGATGGAGGACGAGTGGTTCTTTGACATAGACCCAGACAAGGCTGTGGTCAGATTTCCCGCCAATGAGAAACGGCGGAGGTTTGGGGAGCCCGGCACCGAAGAAAACACCCAGAAGCAAGCTCAGTACCGCTCTTACATTGTTGACAAACTGGTCTTTTTGGCTGTGAGGTTTATTAATAGCATCAAAGCAAATATTCACTGTTTCCCACCCAGTTTAGGATGGTTGGTGTCACAGGTTGGTATCTCCATGTTTTCTGGTGCACACACATTTCAGTCATGCTGATTTTATAGTTGGTTACTTATTATTTCACAGTTTTGACTTATACATTTTTTTAGTAAAGATGGGGGATACTTGGTTACACTGTTCATTTATTTGGTAGGTATCAATCAAGATAGTCATTCTATGTCAACAAATTCATTATTATATTGAAGATCGCCTTTGTCACAATTTACCCATTGCAGTTAAGAGATAACAATTACTCTGCCCTACAGGTATATCGTGTTCTTACTGAGAGAGGTAAGGTCACCATGCAGGAGGTGAGGGCCAGCTGTGCTGACCTGGTGTTTGCACTGTTCATTTGTCCAGCTATCTGTGATCCAGAACCACATGGTATCACATCCGATGTCCCTATAAGCCACATCGCCCGTCATAACTTGATGCAGGTAAAAGCATTAAATTGGTTAAATTCCATGCTTTTTAAAATATATACCAATCAAAGCAGTGTTTCTGAAACCTTTAACCTTGCCATACATATTTCTTAAACCCTATATCGGGCTCACTCAACACCAAAAGAGTTTCTTTTAACAAAAGGAATTGAAAAAACAACAAAATTTTTAAGTATCGATGTGCAATGTGAAAGGACCATTGCCCAAATCTGGTGCAGTAATTTAATTAATGAAATTGCAAATAGGTAAAAAATTAATGCAGATGACTGAGTATATCAGACTACTGCATTTATGAATACTTTGTTACTTAAGAAGTACATTTTCTTTTTGTTTGCAAAAAAACATTTGTTCAAATGAAAAAAAGATTCAGGCCTGTAGATGGATAGCTTGGAATGAAATTATTTTGCTTTAAGAGTGGGTTGTAAGTTAATACTCATGTATGTTTGTAAGTTAAATGAAGTGCCAAGTGTAGCACATCTTTTAAATTTAATTTCATTTTAACATCTCTCTTCAGATGGCACAAATCATTCAAGTACTTGCCATATCTCAGTGGGAAGAAATAGATCCAAAAGTACGAGATCTCTATGGGAGATTTGAAAAGGTTGGTGTTGATGCACAATTGTTAGAACCTTTATGTCGTCACTCTGGTCACAGGCTTTTGAAATGTCTGGCTGCTTTCATTCTCTGTCAGAAAGTCTTTAGAACCATTTTTTTTCCCCCTTTAATCAGTATGGGTCTAAATCCATTTAAAGTCAGGAGTGTTCTGTGTAGTATCTAAAAATATTAAAATTTAAGCTAAAAAAAAAAGCAATTGGGTTTGTGTATCATAGACCTCAAGGGAATATCTTATGATATTGCTTATTGTTGCAAGCTTTCACATGTGTTTTACTGTGTTAAATTAAGATAGGCATCGGGGGGGGGGGGATTTATTACCAATTGATATCGTAAAAATGGACAGAAATTGTATGTTAGGAAAATGATAATTGGTGTTATTGAACAATTATTATTCAGGCAATTTTTTTAATATTTTTTTTTTATTAAATAATTTGTATAGATGTTTCTCCTCTGGAAAAAAAAACCAATAGTGCTTTTGGTTAGATTAATGAGTCACCAACAACTTGTGTCAATATAACACTATTGGTTAAGCTGCCCTTACGTACAAGATTTATGTATTTACAAAAGCTCCCCTCGGGATGTTTAGTTCAGCTCTGCTGTTGTGACAATTTTTTTTTTTACAGAGGTCAATGTTTTTTATCTATTGATATTTTATTTGGACTCTGTACACTTGTCCCAGGGTTGCATGTCTTCTGTCCTGGACTTATTTCTGGAGGGCCCATGGGAAGATATCACAGAGCAAGTGACAGCGGTCAGTCAGGCCCAGGGTACCGGTGCCAAGAGGTCAGCTGTTCTCCTGATGTCTGGGGATGTCAGACAGATGGTCAGTATCTTATGAAGCTTGTTTTTCTTTGTCACCAGACTGGTATCACTAAAAGAACTTTTTATATATCTCATTCTGAACATGGTTCCTTTTGTGAACGTGTATTTACAAAACTTTGTTAAAGTTCTGCTGTATTTGCTTCCACAATTTTGTAACACTGCTTTCCCTCCCTGTATGATATTGCTTCTTTGTGCTATTTATCTTCGGCAAAATGCTTAGGCTTTTCAACTCAATGTTTTCCTCTTTTTTTTTTAAACCTTAACAATTAAGCAACACACATGCAGTGATGAAAGTTTTTACCTAATGCTGCTTGTCATTAGATCGGCTTCCTGAAAAATACAACTGGTCACCTTGATGACAAAACTCCTGACAAGAAACATCTGGAGCAGCTGTTGTCAATACTGCCAGCAGATATGCCCCCTTCCGCACAGGATAATTTGTCACTTCCAGGGGGGTCAGGGGTCATCACACCATCACCTGGTCCTCTGTCAGCAGGCATTATTTCGGGAGACTCTCCAGGCACACCTACGTCTGAAAGGAAGCTGTTTAAATCCAAAGGTGGGTACTGATGGGTGGCCAGCATTTGAATTTCATGATGTCCTATCTAGTTATTAATTGGCTGTTCGTACTAGTGTACGGTAACAATTTAGGCTGTACACCTGCTTACAGACCGGCCATTGTGTACTTTATAAGGATTATACTAATACTAAAAGTAATAATTAAACTGAATAATAGAACCACAAAATATGTACATTTCTCAATTTAACACATCAGATGATAAATGAAGCATCACATACATACATTTGTAAGTTCAAAGTATCAAAGGTTAAAATGAAGAAACCCATATAGGCCTCTGAAAGTTTCTCTCCACAGTTTGGAGCCCAGGATTTTCATCTACTGTCTTTTGTGTTCTTAAAATGTTTTTCTTGCTTTTTCAAAGCTTTGTGTGTATTTATTTTTTTCATTCATACAGGACAGAAGAAGAAAAAGTCTGTGACTACTGCCCCTGTGTTGGATGACTTACTGCCTGAAGGCAGCGAGAGTGACAGCAAACAAAAGACCTCTGGAGATGTCTTGGTCATCTCAATCTATCCTCCGGGAGACTGCCCTGGCATGCTGTTGGAGAAAAAGGTGATTGTTGGACATACTGACTCAATAAAAATCTATCATGAATTAAGTAAAGCATTAGGAATTTAAGGCCACCTAGTCCCATTGTCCACTTCTTTCATGACACAAAAGTGCATGAATGTTATGTCAACTTAACATCTAGATATTTAAACAGGCTCTAATCTGTCTCATTATCACAGATCTACTTTTACATCTATGTCAAGTGATCTACTTTGATGCCATTGTCCAGTGATCTTCTTAGTTGTCATTGTCATGTGATCTACACTGAGCGGGCTCACTTCTTGAATCTTTCATGATTCTGATCTTTTATATGAAATAATTTTGATAGGAATTTTGTTGGCCTTTGAAGGCTGGAGGGTGATCTAAATATAATTATCCATGCTAAATGACCTCCAGGTTTTATCATCTGTTTCTGAAGTAGAGGCCAAGAAGAGCTGCCCGCTGCCACCACCCTCGTCAGACTCCACCACCACCGCACCCCCGCAGGCTGCCCCCAACCCAGAGATCCAGGAGAAAAGGACTCGTTTTTCACTCTCCCATGACCAGGAATCTATTGGTATGTCAACAATAAAAATTATTTGTGTCAACTAATGTGATGGAACCTTAACCTTAAGATGTTAATTAAGCTTAAACTGCAAAAGCTGCTTCACAATACTATGCTGTGTCAAGTGTTTAAAAAAACACTATCTAAAGGTAATGAAATACAACAAATTTTAAACTAAGATATAAACATCTCTGAGAAATGGTGAGTTCTTTAAAGTCAATAATTTGTATACTCATAAACACATTATGAATTTGAAGTTAAATAAAAAATAAAATAATTTAAAACAAAACTTTTCTATTCTGGTGATGTCTAGGCAATGCAAGTGATTATCAAGAAGTTATTTCAGAGGCGGCCTCAAGCCATTCTGTTGAAGATGAAAATGAGCTAGAAACAGACAATTTCTCCGATATGATGTCGGCCAATGTGAGCGGGCGGGGCTCCCCCTCGATCAGCGGTAGGGACACGCCTCTGTCGCAGGCTGGTAGTGTTGAGGAGAACCCAGCAGGTACCTGTAGATATTGATCCTGTTCTGTCTGACTTGGCCCATGCTGAACATTGATTGTTGCTAATGAAGTGATGGGTGGAGATATGGGTTTTTAATATATTTAGAGTTTTGTTCTGTGGTGACAGCAGGAGAACTGTGTCTTTTTGGATGTCCCCAAGAAATGGATGTCTTATAGTAAGCTTTCTTCCAGGTCATTACTTTAAACCCCTGAGATTGCTACCTTTTTGGACTTTATCATATTAAACCGATGTCTAGAAATAAAGGATGCATTTTGTATTGTATTTGCTGATTTTATTTTAATTTTGTAGCTTTTTTTTTTTGTTTTTTTTTTGTTCAAATCTTAATTTAATAAGATAAGGATAAGTCAGAGTTGCATTTAAGTGGCTTTCTCATGTTTATCATCTGATTCTTTGCTTGTCTTTAGACAGAGGCTTTCTGCAGATGATTTCATGACTTTGATGATACATTTTCATCTTTATATCATTTAAATCGCATTCCACCTTTTTTTCTTCTTTTTTTTCTCTGTTCCAAAATTTCAAGTCTCTAAGAAATGAACAAAAATTAATAACAACTTTTGCAGTGAATATTGAAATATTTTTTTTTTATGCTTGATCCTAGCATACATAGCCAAAATGTTTTTTCTCTTTTCAATTTGAATAGTTCGTGGCATTTTTATAGACTTGTTTTTGCCTGTCATTGGTTATGTTTCTTTTCTTTATTTGAAATTTGTGAATCATTAAAATCTTCCGTTCTTTTTTCTTTTCCGTACTGATTATTCAATGATCATGTTAAATCTGTTGTCTTGAAGCCCCACAACTCCCTGTGCCGGTACCAGAGACTGTCAGAAAGGAAAACAGAGTGGATGTTACTGACAGATTCGGCAAGTTTGAAATCAAGGCTGAGCTTGCCATGGAGAGTGAGTTTCAAAATACAGCATGCGCTAAAACTAGCAGCACCGTAACTCCTCAGCGCGTACTCGCGTTTGTCAACTGGGCGCAGGTCCAGCTGCCACGTGACCATGGAAGTGAAAACGATTAAATTTTTGACAGTTGTTGTTGGAAATGGGTCTTACCAGGGTGTGTGGAAAAAAGTATTAATAGCTGAGGAATAGTTTTGTTCATACTTAAGTGAAGTTGAATGGAGACTGTGTTTGAAAAAAATGTGGAAGAACAGTTCCAAATAATCCTCTACGTACAAGCAAAAATTGTGCTCTCTAAAATTTTGTTCCTCCATTGTGATACCCCATTTCCAAAAACAACTGCCTAACACAACATCCTTGACACAACCCAGGAAACACTTGGCAGATGGAACACCGTCAGCAAAGGCACGTGCGCGTTCAAAATGTGGAGTTTCAGTACTGTTACTTTTGGTGCATACTGCGTTTGCATGTTGTGACTATGTCATCTTAACTTTCTATGAGGTTTGTTTCACCTCAACTTATTTGATCCTTGAAACTGTGCTTGTGTGAGTAACAGGAAAGCAGCTCATGTTGTGATCATCCATATGTCATTACCTTGATGAGAGTTCTCTCTAAGCTCCAATTTAACACCCTATTGTATGCATGTTGTAGAGAGGTCATAACGGAAATAAACATACATTTTTGAAGCTTCAAAAATCCTAATTATTTCCTAGGAATTCAGTTGTAAAAAAAAATAATTAAAATATATGTCCAAATTAAGAGTTTAAACAAAACATGGAATTGTTGTTTTTTTTAGGGTTAACTGTTACTTCTCTGTCTCTTTGATAGGAGATGAATGTAAGTCCACTGTCAGCGATACTTGGAGTACTGACGTCTTGGCCAGTGATTCTGAGCCACCTGAACAGAACCAAGTGGACAGGCTGGAAGAAGTGGCTGAAGAAATCTCTAGGCCTCTGCTGTTAGGCTCTGAGGTAAAGTTGTTCAATATGCATAGATGAAAGGTTGGACTGATTGGCAGTTGTGTGAGAAAGCTTGGACTTATTGGCTCTGAGGTAACATTGTTTTATTTGTGTGTATGATGTGCTGGACTGATAGCCTCTGAGGTAACATTGACTGATTGGCTCTGAGGTAACATTGTTTTATTTGTGTGTATGATGTGCTGGACTGATAGCCTCTGAGGTAACATTGACTGATTGGCTCTGAGGTAACATTGTTCTATTTGTGTGGCTAATTTGCTCGGAGTTAACATTGTTAAGTTTGTGTGTATGATGTGCTGGACTGATAGCCTCTGAGGTAACATTGGTGAATTCTAGTCGAAGAAATTTTGTGAATCAATATGGCATTTTGTCATGTGATCTTTTTATTTAATAATTGTTATCAAGTTTCCCATGTGATTTTGGTATTTAATAATTGTTATGAATTTGCCATGCGATCAATTATTAAATGTCTTATCTCTCATCAGCCCATCTCAGAAATATCAGAAACGGCGAGTGATGCCTGGAGTACAGATGTTCTTGCAAGCGACACAGATGAAAAACACTCAGAACTTTTGAAAGATCTTGAACAGGTATGTCTTACATGTCAATATCTGCCATGTATTTTTTGCATTGTTATACCTCTTGTCAGGCCTACACCCTGGTCTTAATCATGATCAGTCTTTATTTTGATGCTGCGCCATTGACATTACAATATCAATACCTCTATTGTATTTAATAAGCCGCACCAAGGCCCCACTGACAACTTTTAAGAAATTAACAAATCATTTTATAACACTGCTGACAGCACACAGGTTCTCCTCCTGTCTAACATTAACTTTTACCAACAAAAAAAAATCAATGGTCATTTAAACAAAATTGCACACACTTAATTCTAATTCCTGGCACTTACACTGACCTGTTGAAGAGGTATTGCTCAATCCTTGCATGACTCTTTAGATCATGTTTACTGGCCACTATTGCAAGGGATCAGATATCTATTATTATTATTATTCATTGGTGGTTGCACTTTTTTTTGGACATTCAACCCTTTAAGTGGTGGTACAATTTTTAAATTATTTTTAATACACGTGTGTATGGGAAATTAAGCTAACAGACTGTTGCCTCCCTCCCCCAGGATCTGATCAGTGGTGATCACAATGAAGTGGACGGCTCAATCGGCAATGATGAAGGTGACTGAAGACTACTAAGATTGTTTTCCATATACTTGACTTCTGTAGGCTAAAATTCTTTTAAACAGAAACATTGAGAAAACATGCTAATTGTTTTTTGCACCCTATTTTAAAAAAAGTAAAAATTGACAAAACTGTTTAAAGTCTTCGAAATGTAAATTTTGAATTATAAAAATTATTTGTTTAATATTTAAATCAATTCTTTGAAATGCAGTTTTTAAACTGTAAGAATGTTTATTTGATATATATCTGATTTTTATTTTTTGCTCTGTAAAAAATGTGAAAAAGTTAATACACAATTTTTTACCAGAGTCATGCAATCATTTAAAGGAACATTAAAAAAAAAAAAAAGTATTAAATTTCAGGAGCTACTTTCCGAGTCATGTTTTCAACTTCATGATGTGTCCATTTTTTACCACAGTTGATGACCAGTTAGATATGGACCAACTTGGAGCCGCTGGTGGGGGCAGGAGCAACCTTACACCTCAGCACTCGTCTGACAGCGGTGACATCTTCTCCTATGCCTTCTTGGAAGGAGCAGCAAAATGCAGTGAGGAAAATGAAAAATCAGGCAACGGGAAAAAAATATCCTCCATTGTTCACCACTTTCAGTCAGGCCCCAATCTTCAGCTGCCCACCATTCATCGCCTCCCTTCTCAATCTTTGAAGCATGCCGAGGGCAGGGTGACGTCTGTGTTGAGCACATTCGAAAGTGCCTCTCATAATGCATCCCAGGCCACATCGAGTGCAGCATTTCAATCTTCTGGGGCTAGAAGTAAAACCGGCAAGGAGCGAAGAGGCAGCCATGGTGCAGGGGACGATGGCTTCAATGAATTCGACCCACTGGCTTCAGGGGGAAGTGGTGCTGGTGGACATAGAAAAAGTAAAGACAGATGGCCCTGGAACAAAAGCAGCCGCAACAGCTCTGAGCAGCTGGCCTCAAGTCTGCCAGCAGCTGTTGACTCGCAGGCTTACCAGAATGATTTGCCGGCACCCACGCCTCCCACGTCAGATCGATGTGGTCGGACATCATCTCGGGATTCAGGGATTGACATATGGGTCAACACGAATGGTCAGATGTCGGGGAGCTCATCTCGGTCAGCGGCGGCAGCATTAATGAATGCCAGGTCCTCCCTGGACTCCAGTACTAAACATCCGCATGCCCCTCCCCTGCCCGGCCGGTCATCACTTGACTCAAATCTCCAGCGATTGAACTCAATAGGGGGAATACCTGGCATGGCTTCAACCCCTGATTCTGGGCTTCATTCTACTTACATATCTCCCAATTCATCCTTAGACAACAGCACGCCACCTTTAGAGATGGACAACCCATTGTTCCATATGAATAATTCTTCTTTGAATAAAAATAAACAAAGTGTGAACACTGACCTTATGTTCACAGGTGAACCACAAACCACCAGCACGGTCACATCTATGAACAACGAAGATTCACTTTCATTAACGGATTCAGTTAGTGGTAACGAGAGTGGTGTCCGGGACTCAGAAGGAGGGAAATATAAGAATCGTAAGTCGCGGAGGAGCACCCCACAAATTGAGGTGACGGACATCTTCAAGACAATATCCATCATAGAGAATGAGGGTGACGGAGAGGACCAGGAGGATGCGGAGGTTGCGAACATCGGGGAGCAGCAAATTTCCAATCTGAATGAGCGGAGAATGTCGTCAGCATTAATAGAGCCTTTTGACCCATTTTCATCCACATCGGATGACCTGGTGACGCCCAGCCTGAAGGACTCTACCATTAGGTTTAAGGACCCCGTCAGTAGAACTCGAGAAGGTTCAGTATCGAAGGGTGCGGGACTTGCGGCCAAACCTGGTGGGCTACCATCGGCAGGTGATGACAGGAAAAGGCTAGAACCTGAGGCGTCTGGTCGGCCCCGAAAAGACAGCACGGGGAGCACTGTGTCAGGATCCTCTTTGAAGTTTGCATGTGATGTCCCTGGAAAAGAACCAGCCCCTGACAGTGTGTCCATAGTGTCAGAAGATAAGGTGAGTTTATTCTTTGAGAAATGTTTTTTCCTGGTTTCTCTGTTAGGGCATTTTAACCCTTTCGTTACCCACAACGTCGAAGCGACGTCATAATGACCCACTTTCAATTACAAAGGACGTCACACTGCCGTCATAACAAAGAGGCAAAGATCTTTTCTGAAATACCAAGGACGTAGCGTGGACGTCATATTTCAATGCTATATATTTATTTATTAATTAATGTATAGAGAAGTTCATACGCGGAATACTGGAAATAACTTCATAAGTTTTTTATTGCCGTTTCAGCGAAAACAATGCCTAAACCAGTGGTAATGAAAGGGTTAAGAGCAGACAGGAATGAGGTTTCTGTTGCTAATTTTAATCTTTTTCAAGGAACTGGTCCCATCTGTCATCAATCATTTTAAATTTACAAATTAAGATTTGGTAACATTTGATCCGGCATAAATTCAGCCTGTTGTGCTCTTGATAACATTTTTGAATGAGTCATCCAAAAGAATGAATGTAACAGTCAGTTTTGCCAGATTAATGCCCGCCCCCCCCCCCCCCCCCCCCGCCCCCCCACCCACCCCCCCCCGGCAAGCCATATCTGGTCTGTGTGTCATAGTTTTAGGACCCCAGTGGGAAACTTTTCAGTAAATAGATTCATAAGGACTTGGTGTATGAACTCTTGTAACATGCATTTAGATTGCATAGGCAGACATGAACAAACACACCTGACATTGCGTATATCAATAAGAAAGTGAAAAAAACATTAAAACATACACTTTTTGCCACAAAATGACAGCAAGCGAAGCCTTTGTACAGTCAGTAAGAAAGCATTAAAATATGACCTACATTTATTGTCCAGAGATTGGAGCTATAATAGTTTTATTTGCCTAGCATTGCAATATCACATAGTGCATTTAAGGAAGGCATACCTTGATACAAAAACACATTATTGTGTTCCAAAAGTCGACAAAATGGATTTCATAAGATTTTTGGGAAAATTTAAATTTGGAATTGAGTCATGGGCTCTGTATTTAGATGTGAATTTAGTTTTTAGTTAGAGCTCTGTAGATAGTTGTGAAGTTAGTATTTAACTAGAGCTCTGTAGATAGTTGTGAATTTAGTATTTAGTTAGAGCTCTGTAGGTAATGGGAATGAGCAACCAATAAAGACAATATATATAGATAATTATGATTAAGTGTTAAGAATAGCTACTCTGCTGTACTGAAGAGTCTATGCCACCCAATTTTTTGGCTTTACTTTGAGAAGGGCTCTGTAGACAGGTGTTAAAATTAATTTACTTTGCAGATGTGAAACATTAGTCACCAGTTCAAGAAACATGGTTGCACTTTTTTTGCTTGAGACCATTAAATTAATTATAGAAATGTCCAGCTAAAATAAATATGATTTCTTCTGATATTTTTAAACATTTTTCATTTCTTCACAATGCTTTTTAACCCTGTAGTGAAATTTATTTTACATTAGAACATAATAGACACATTTTTAGTCAGTTTTTTGATGTCACCATTACTGCACAAGACTGTTGTTGTTTTTTTTGCATTGGACTGTTTTATGCACAGCAAAGCCAATGTTTTCTGCATGGATTGAATACAAAACTATTTACTTAGTGTTATAGAGCCTCTATTGCTTAATTAGGGTCACTCAAGCTTGCTTTCATCATCAATTATGATGTCTTTTAGATGGCTAATAGCTAAAAACAGGCCTGCACTGCTCAAACTGTAAGGCAGACCGTAATATTTCATGAAAAACGTGTGCGGGCTGAAAGAAAATAGGACAGGGGGAAAGCTATTTAGAAAATAATAATAAAGAATATTTCGTTACTTTGCGGGCCACAAAGTGGGAGCTGGCGGGCCGTATGCTGTGCAGGCCTGGCTAAGAATATCATGCGTCTGCAAAGCTGTTAAATTGGGGTGTCAGCCACTCCCCCAGTGACTCTTGAAGTATTATTTTATAAGTGTTGGTGGGTGCCTATTTTTCTCGTTACTCACTATTGCTTTTTTTTAAAGTCGTTACTATAATTTTTTTTAACGAGATATTCAATACATTATTGCAAAAACTTTGATCTGCCAGTTGTGTAGAATCCTGTTGATACAGGGCTTTCTGGTAATGATCATTTAACTGATTCTCACGCCTTGCACATACGTAAAATACGCATATTTTAAGCTTACATTTTGAAAGCATCCAGCTGAATCGATCAGCTTTTTTTATTGCGGTAGGAGATAGTTTTCTAAATATTCTACTGGATATGTGATGGAACATTTTACAAAATGTGGCAAGATTTTTGGCTTGTTGGCTTGTGCTGTGCATCATTTCTACTGCAACTTATCATGTCATAAGACAAAAACCGTATTCTTATTGTACATCACAAGTTGACACAACTGTTCAAACGAGCATTAATGTTTGCATGTAATTCTGCACCTCATGGGCAGCAATTACTTTGCTATTCTTTATCCATTCTCTGCACCTCATGGGCAGCAATTACTTTGCTATTCTTTATCCATTCTCTGCACCTCATGGGCAGCAATTACTTTGCTATTCTTTATCCATTCTCTGCACCTCATGGGCAGCAATTACTTTGCTATTCTTTATCCATTCTCTGCACCTCAGCTCGGCCTTAGTAAGGAAGATGAAAAGAATAAAAACAATTACCCTAAGTCTGTTTTATTATTTGATGGTTTTTACACTCCTGCAATTTGTTCTGCACTGCCTGCTGACACACGTTTGGTTCACACTGATAAGAAGGGTGAATTCTCTAACACAATCTCAATGTAGTTTGTCTGTGAAGTCAGGCAGGAAGCGGGACTCATTGCCCTGTGCAGACGAACCTCTCTTCCAAGCAGGGCAAGCCAAGAGTTGTCTAAAATGGTTTTGTCCAGGCGTCTATCACAATTAGTAAGTAAGCATGCTCCTCGCACACCTCATGTGTTTACCGAAGCTTTGCTCATGGTTCTCCCATTTCAGAAGTTTTTGTCAAACTTGACCCTTGGCCTCATCCGTGGCGTCATGTTCCCCTTGTCTATTGACACTTTGGACAGAGCTAAATTATACTTCAAGTTCCGTCTCCTTAATTAGCATGATCAGCGTACCGTTGGGCCATCGGTGGGGAAAATGTTGGATGGCCTTCAGTTGGGAAATGTTGGATGGCCACCCATGTTGAGCTTGACCCCATTACACTTTGTCTTTCAAGGAAATCTTACATTCAGGTGTTTTTTCTTCTTCTTCCGATGACTTGAAGAACTGTGTGAAGGCATGTTCTTTTTAAAATCATCCTGGGAAGCACATTTTCACAACTTTCTCAACATCTAACTTAATAGAAACACATTTTCTGGCATTATCTCTCAGTCTCCATTCTGATTTTCATAATTGTTAGGTCCAAGAAGTTTGTCAAGAACTCTTCATTTGATTTCACGGTCTTGTGTGCCAACGATTGCCTTACTTTTGTAAGCTACAATAGACCTTGTTTTTCCCAACCTTTTCTATACTCTGCACCAACTACTAATCATTTCACTAGTCTTGCACCCTCTATTAATTGCTTTACTAAGTCTTGCAACCCCTGCAAAAGGGTCAGTCCATTTTAAAAGTGAACGTGTATAGAATGTCTTCTTTTTTTTTTTTTTTTTTTTTAATCGCAAATAGAACTGTAAAACTTAAAAAAATAAACTTGTTACTTGAAAAAGATTAATGAAGAAATTTTTTAATTATACCAACATTTATATCATAGCTAGAAAGAGCACCCTCTATTAATTGCTTTACTAAGTCTTGCAACCCCTGCAAAAGGGTCAGTCCATTTTAAAAGTGAACGTGTATAGAATGTCTTCTTTTTTTTTTTTTTGAATCGCAAATAGAACTGTAGAACTTAAAAAAATAAACTTGTGACTTGAAAAAGATTAATGAAGAAATGTTTTAAGTATACCAACATTTATATCATAGCTAGAAAGCTAATGTCTCTTCTGTTCTTAAATCCCGTTTTTTTTCTCAACCCCTCCCCACACCCAACCCCCAACTTCTCAAATGTCATAGCCCTTGTTGGGACACCCTGCCCTACTGGATAATCCCTTATTCTGGATTGAGTTGCTTAATTGAATCTCACTTTCTAATCACTGCAGTGATCACCCCAGATGGTTTGCAGCTTACATGGCTTAGATCCACATGCAGTTGTATCTTTTCTGGATGCTCTGCCATATCTTGAAAATCTTTTTAGTGGGGCTGGTCTTCTGCATTCAGTTTGCCTTAAACGGGGGGGGGGGGGATTTGAGAATGGATCAGCGGTGGCTCTCCAGGACAAAAAAACAACTACATAGAAATAAAGGGGAATATTACATTCTTCTAAGTATTTTAGTGGGGCTGGTCTTCTGCATTCAGTTTGCCTTAAACGGGGGGGGGGGGGATTTGAGAATGGATCAGCGGTGGCTCTCCAGGACAAAAAAACAACTACATAGGAATAAAGGGGAATATTACATTCTTCTAAGTTTTTGCTGAATCCACTTTTGGACTCGCTATTGGATGTTGTTTCTATGTTAATCACCAAAGATCTCAACCTATTTCATTAATTAATGTCTTTGAGCTTTTTATTTGAATTGACATTCTCCAGCCATTTTCGTTTGGGAGCCATGTTTACTACAAGATGGCTACATGTGCACAACAAATGCAAAAGGATTGTGCATTTTTTTTTTAGGAATACCTTTCCAGAGCCTTTGAATTTCCCTAGTTGCTTACAAGGGAGAGAAGAGTTGTAGTTTCTGCTACTCAAAAACACACCATAACGTGTTTGGTCTCATTGGAATTCAATGTCTGATACAGTTGCTTACTTTTTTGGTCTCATTGGAATTCAATGTCTGGTACTGTTGCTTACTTGTTTGGTCTCATTGGAATTCAATGTCTGGTAGCTTGTGTCGTGCTAAATCATATTTATTAATGATTTGAAGGACCAAAACATAGATTTTTTTTTCTTTTCTTATTAAGAATGGAAAACATTGGCTTTCACATCAGTGATTCATGTTTAAGGGATCGCCATGAGGTAGGTAAGACATTGGAATCGTTGAGGACATCTTCACCGACTCAACGTCTTCACTGGAAGTGGCCAACACTTAAACCACCAATGTGTCTTTGTTAGTTGTTTTGTTTCTATCTTGAGTGAGAAGTTGTGATTAAAATGTGTCTGGCAGTTGCATCTGCCTGACAAGAACCTTGTTTAAACTTGTTTGCCTTGTTCTCTCCACTCTGCAGGATTTTACTGACGGAGAAAGACAGAAGAAGTCTGGAGGTGGGGGGTTTCTCCGCAACATGAAGGACAAAATCCACAGAGGTGCGTTTGTAGGGAACAGCCCAAACCAAACTGTGCTAATGTTCAGACTCTGCTAACAGCTGTCCATATATTCTGAAAGAGAATAATTTGTCTAGTTATGTGTTAGAAATTGTGTTTAATGTATTGAGGCTTTTGTTTTATTTAATAATTAAAAACAAGATGGCAAGGTTTGATTTTTTTTTTTTAAATACAGAGGAAATTGGCAATGGTATCAATGTAAGAACAAGAAACACTGGTAATGGTGTATTGTTTCAAATAACAAATAAATAGGTTTCAATGGTTACATGAATAGTGTTGAACTGTTGGTCCTTTTGTTGGTTAAAGATATTAATGATAAGTTGTATGAAGGAAGTTATAGTTATTCACTTCTCTTTAATGTTGGTGGAAAGGGTAAATATTTATGAAGTAGATGTTTGGAATGGGTAGGGGTGGCAGGCTGGGTATGGGGGGGTGAGTATGCATGTGGAGTTGTTAGAGGTGAAAGTTTGGTGAGTTGGGGGAAGGAGTTTGCTTGTGGAGTGGGTAGGGGTGGCAAGTTGGGGAGGGAGTATGTATGTGGAGTGGGTAGGGGTGACAAGTTGGGGATTTGGGGGAGTGAGTAGGTACCTGGATTGAGTAAGGGTGGCAGGTTGGGGGGGGGGGAAGTGGGGAAAAGTCTCCACAGATCCTGTATGAATATATTGATAGAATGTCCTGTAATAATTCTTTCATTTAGAGCACTAGATATATAACTGAATGTTACTTTTCATATCATTGACAGGAATCAAGAGGAAAAATACAAAGTTTGATAAAGATCTAGGTAAGGATCTTGTTTTCACTGGTCTGCCAGCTGGCAAATTTGTCCTAAGCTCATAAATGTATAATTACATCATCAGATATCTCTTTATATAGTTTTATCTGGCATATTATTAGTTAAATGTAATAATCTAGTTGATAAGTCCCAACCAGTGCTGCTTGAATGCCTTCAAGTTGAATGTGTTGATAAGTCCCAACCAGTGCTACAAGAGTTCCTTTTAGTTGAATGTGTTGATAAGTCCCAACCAGTGCTACTTGAATGTCTTTAAGTTGAATGTGTTGATAAGTCCCAACCAGTGCTACTTGAATGTCTTTAAGTTGAATGTGTTGATAAGTCCCAACCAGTGCTACAAGAGTGCCCGAGGTTGAACGTGTTGATAAGTCCCAACCAGTGCTACAAGAGTGCCCGAGGTTGAACGTGTTGATAAGTCCCAGCCAGTGCTACAAGAGAGCCTTTTAGTTGTATATTACTCTCTCGAACACACAAGATAGTTTGTCCTCACTAGCCAATGCACTTAAGATATGCACTTTTGATGTGCTAAGCCCTTCAACACAAAACTTTTGAGGACCTCTGAGCTAGTTAATCCCAAATTAACAATACCAATAGAAATAAATGTACTGTGTCAAATTGAAAAAAAAAAAGATAAATGCTGAATCTGACAGGTGTTAAATAATTTTATTACGTGCGCATAAACAATAAATTAGCTGCTACACATTTAACGACACTTACTGCTATCAGTAGAGTTGTTAAAGAAGCACATGTTTTTGAACCTTATTTTGAACAGACGCAGCAGAAGCTGATGGCTCACCCAAGCAGGCGCCTCAAGGTGCAAGCAGCAAAGACTCATCTTCTTTACCACACCAGGGTAAGCTATTTGCCAGACAAGGAGCTATTTGTTGTATATTCCTGTGTGAGAGATGGATCCCTTTTCAATTGTGATAGTGGTCAGAAAATGACGTTATTTATTTAAAAAAAAATTAATTATACCCCAACAGCAGCCTGTGAAATACATACTAGTATTGAGCCACTAAATCCCAGAAGTGAGCCAGCAGTTATCGGTATTGAGATGGTTGAAAGGTAAAGAAGGCTGTGCAAATAGACAAATGGTTGACAAATGGAGACCAACCCATAGAATAAAACAAATCAATACTCATGGCCTCTGAAATTGAAGAGAAGCAACACCCTACCAGACAGAGAAGACTTGCAAATACGACCTTAAGACCTATATCCAAACCAACATTTACAAATGGCATATATCAAAACAGATCAAATCGAAAAGAAAGAAAATTACAGGCTGCCTACACACAATGATAGCTGCAGAAAAATCCATCGCATTACATGTAAGGCTATGGTGTATGAATAGAGTACCCAGACCAATCATGTGACTAACCTGCAACCCTTGTGGGACAATGCCTTACATGTAAGGCTATGGTGTATGAATAGAGTACCCAGACCGATCATGTGACTAACCTGCAACCCTTGTGGGACAATCTGCAGTAATTGTGCAGCAGAAGTGACTGTTATTGAAGCAGCGCTACATCTCCTGTCTGGAATCTTCACAGTTTATCCCAGCAAACAAAGTAATGTTACATTCTCCAATTGCAAATCAATACTTCAGGCAGCTGAGCACCAAGATCTCACAACAATAACAGTAAAATAACTACTTCATGCAGCTGAGCACCAAGATCTCACAACAATAACAGTAAAATAACTACTTCATGCAGCTGAGCACCAAGATCTCACAACAATAACAGTAAAATAACTACTTCATGCAGCTGAGCACCAAGATCTCACAACAATAACAGTAAAATAACTACTTCAGGCAGCTGAGCACCAAGATCTCACAACAATAACAGTAAAATAACTACTTCTGAAAATAAACACCTTCCTAGAAACCTATGCAGTCAAGCTAACTTTACAATTTACACCAGGACACCACAATATACCAGGACACCACAATATACCAGGACACCACAAGACACCACAAGACACCAGGACACCACAATATACCAGGACACCACAATACACCAGGACACCACAATATACCAGGACACCACAATACACCAGGACACCACAATATACCAGGACACCACAATATACCAGGACACCACAATATACCAGGACACCACAATATACCAGGACACCACAATATACCAGGACACCACAATATACCAGGACACCACAATATACCAGGAAATGAAAGAGCAGACAAACTAGCAGAACAGGGAGCATAAAAGGATCAGCCAAACATACCTACATCACTCAACACAGCCGAACATACCTAAATCACTCAACACAGCCAAACATACCTACATCACTCAACACAGCCGAACATATCTACATCACTCAACACAGCCAAACATACCTACATCACTCATTATAGCCAAACATACCTACATCACTCAACACAGCCAAACATACCTGCATCACTCAACACAGCCAAACATACCTACATCACTCAACACAGCCGAACATACCTACATTACTCAACACAGCCAAACATACCTACATCACTGAACACAGCCAAACATACCTACATCACTCAACACAGCCGAACATACCTACATCACTCAACACAGCCAAACATACCTACATCACTCAACAAGCCAAACACCTACATCACTCAACACAGCCGAACATACCTACATCACTCAACACAGCCGAGCAGATGATCAGAGCTAACAAAAAATGAAGAGTGGTTAAATGGATGGGCTTTGGGCTCAATAGGAAGATGTGTTTTCACCCACATACCCAGCCCAGATCCTAAAGATCCAATAAACTGCCTCCAGAGACATGAACAGATCATAATCTTTCGCCTGCACACATGATATATACAACTTAACCACATAAAACCAGATTAAAAACCAATGTGCCCCCTATGCAAACATTCAACTGACACAGTAACACACCACCTCTTCCACTGCCCAGCACTTCAAGACTTACGCCTAAACTATCTACCCAAAATACCAGACTGCACCAACACCCCAAATGCCCAAAAAGGACAGCTGCTAAGAGTGTGTCAATTCTTCAACCCTGCCAAACGGCACATGCCCCATTGGCCACTGGATCTGAATGATGATGATAGCAATGATGTAATGTTTTACTTTAATCAAGCTTGTGGAATAAATGCTAATTTGTCATTGCTGATGTTGTTATGCTTAAATGCGAAATGGGAATATCTTGTGATGCAATTTTTAAATAGCCCTCAAGTCTTTTAAAACCTCAATGAAAATTCGAAGTAATTTAATGCTTCTCAGAGTACGTTTGTTCTTTGCTTCTCAGAGTACGTTTGTTCTTTGCTTCCAATTAATTTGACAACAACCTTAAAACAAAGACAAACCTCACTTATCTTCCAGAATCTACTGATGACATTTTGGCAAAGTATCGCACACCCAAAAAAGCTCCGGCGAAACCTGGCAACAGCAACAACAGCAATAACAACAACACATCGTCGGTCAACAACAACAGCGGTGTCAATCGACCAGACTCTGTTGACGGTGCAGCGACGGGCGGACGGGGGAGCGTGGCTTGTGGAAATGATGGCCAGGCTGTTCTCGACGATGCCGGGCCACAGTTTCTGGACCCCAACAACCTAGAAACTTGCCCGGCCTTCATGGATGCAAAAAAGAAGCTGCGGCTCGTGTTGAGCATGGGAGATGTGTACTTTGGGATTGGCCAGGTGAGTGCCGGTGTTTGGTGGAGGCTAATTGTTGGCCAGGTGAGTGCCGGTGGTTGGTGGAGGTTTAATTGTTGGCCAGGTGAGTGCCGGTGGTGATGGAGGCTAATTGTTGGCCAGGTGAGTGCCGGTGGTTGGTGGAGGTTTAATTGTTGGGCAGGTGAGTGCTGAGGGTGATAGAGGCTAATTGTTGGCCAGGTGAGTGCCGGTGGTGATGGAGGCTGATTGTTGGCGAGGTGAGTGCCGGAGGTGAGGGCCGGAGGTTGGTGGAGGTTTAAGTGTTGGCCAGGTGAGTGCCGGTGGTGATGGAGGCTAATTGTTGGCCAGGTGAGTGCCGGTGGTTGGTGGAGGTTTAATTGTTGGGCAGGTGAGTGCTGATGGTGATAGAGGCTAATTGTTGGCCAGGTGAGTGCCGGTGGTGATGGAGGCTAATTGTTGGCCAGGTGAGTGCCGGTGGTGATGGAGGCTAATTGTTGGGTAGGTGCAGGTGAATTGTCGGGGCTGGAGTTGCAGGATGATGGGTCATGGTAGAGTCATGCTCCAGTAGAGTTGGGAATGACCAGTATAGTTGGGAGTAACCAGTAGAGCTTGTATTTGGGAATACTAGACCTGTTTACCCTCCAACTCTTCAAATCGTACAATATCCTCACAAAATTGTTCCATACATTATCTGAGTAGTAAGAAAAACATACGGTATAAATAATATTTAGGCCTCAAAATCGTATATTGTACGCCCAAATCGTAAGAGTAAACAGGTCTGGAATACCATTTAGAGTTGAGCATAACAGTGGTAGAGTTCCACCACCAATGTTCCCTATAAGGTTTGCTGTTTCGTGTGCAAAATCATACAGTTGTGTGCAAAGTTTTACAGCTTCAATTTTTTTGTGTGCAAAATTCTACAGCCCACTCACATGGAAATTTGCTGCGCGGTACTCAAAACTGCTGCCCGGTACTCAAAACTGCTGCGCGGCGTCTGTGAAATAGCTGCGCGGCGGGGCAGCCTAAAGGGAACATTGTCCACCACTAGTCATTGATTTTAGTGTTAGGGCAGGTCATTGCTGACCATTTCAGGGAACATATCCTGTGTCTTTTTCCTCTACTGCTGATTGGCTTCTGGCATATAAAACAAAGAACTAACCTCTACTTCTCAAGCTTAGAAGGCTTGTATGAAAAAGGAACTCTTGAATTTTTATTTTGTGTTCAACTTTAAAGCCAATGTTTTTAAATGTTTTTCTGGCTGCTGATTTGAAAGTACCAACCTTGTTTGCAAAAATTCATAAAATATATTGCAGGATATTGGAAATTTTGGGTTGGTGGTGGCATGGTGCAGTATAACCATGTTTGTTCTTCAGATCTTATCACTGGGTCTTTGACATGCATTATGGTGGTTGTAAGACAGTGTACACTCATCACCCTCTATTGCGCTATCTTCGAAACCTTTTAAATTAGTCTGTCCAACCATTTCTTTTATACGGGATTCCCCTCCAGCAGCCCCTACATTCCCTGAAATGTGATTGTTGTCTGGGGATTCTGGGCCATGGAAGATTTAGCCAGCAGTTTCTATAGTATTGATTAATTTATTGATTAAACACAAACATTAGTTCTGCCTTATGTTTATGTGCTTGTTATGTCCAGGTTCAGTCCAGCAGTCCGAGGGACGGCTTCTCAATACGGGAGAATGAGCTGATCAACATCCTCAACGCCCAGCTGGCCGAGGCCATCAACCTGCAGAACAAGGACCTGGTGGCCCAGCTGTACGAGGTCATTAGGTGCATCAAGATGTTTGATGGTGATGGGTGAGTTTGGATGAGCTCCCTTTTGTGTCCTTAATTCGCAGGATCTATTTTAGTTATGGTAATTTTTGTATGTATTTCCTTCCTAGCTTGAAGATAATTTATTCAAACACTTGGTTTAATCTTCAGAAAATATGAATGTGTCAAAGGATTTAAAAAAACAACAATAGCAACAAAAAGCAACCAAAAAAATTAACATTTGAGGGCAAAACTATGTCACTCTAATGTGTACAGTTTGATCTATTGCACGGCTTAAATACTTACTTATGCCTTTTACCCAGCCTGCGGCATAGGTCATCTAAAAAAGGGGATTTCCATTCATCTGGGTCCTGTGCTTTCCTTTCCAGGTACTTCCTGGTATATCCCATATTTTTTGTGTCTGCCTGGTGTCTCCGTGTATTCTTAGGCCTTCCTGTCGTCCTTTTGTTCTTCCTTTGGATTTTGAGGGATTGCCTGGGGGATTATTATCTGGTGTGCCCTAGCCACCTCCATCATTTCCTTATGATGTCTTCAGGTTCTTGTTATGTCCTTTCTAGTAAGTCTTTGTTGGTGATGGTGTCTTGGCCACTTCATGTTCAGGATCTTTCTAAGGCAAGTGTTTATGAGGGTCTGTACTTTCTGCACGATGCTCGGTGTTCTCAAAGTTTTGGTTCCACGGAGTAGAACTGTTTTGACATTTGTGTTGAAAATTCTGACTTAAATTTGTGGAGTCACTCCTTTGAATCTCATAAATGTTTTCATAGCACAGCTGCTGACTTTGCCTTTCTATTTCTAGCCCTGATATCAGCTTCAGATCCACCATTTATGTCAATGGTGCTGCCCAAGTAGTTGAAGGCCTTTGTTACAAGCTCACTTGCTAAGATTTGCCACACAGAAATGTGCCATTCTTTTGCTGATTTCATTTCTCTCTCCTAAACCATAAGCACCCCTTGGGAGTTTATACCTGCGGGGGAAGATTCAAAGTTGATGCTAATAAAAACAAAAATAATGATGTAATTGTGAATAGGGGAATGGGCACTAGGGCTTGTCTCCTGGAAAGTGGGAAAAGAATATAGACAACTTGGCAAGTTTCATCTTAACTGTATTTATTTTTGTAAAACTCTTCCCTCCTCTTCCTGTTAATATTTTAAGCTGAGATTATTTCAGATTTTTAGTTGTTTTTTTTTACCTTTGATGGTTACATGGCTCATGGTGACTTGGCTCATGGTGACTTGGCTCATGGTCACATGGCTCATGGCAAAATGGCTCATGGTCACATTGGTCATTGTCACATGGCTCATGCAACTGGACCTTAATTACAAGACTTTCAATTCCCCTTGTGGTACATAAACCATCTGACCCTCGTGGTTAAAAGTGTTGTTTAGTTTGACCAGACGTGTCAACGTATGTATGTTTCAGTTGCAAGAAGTTGTTGAAGTCCATGAGAGAGGACTACAGAAACAGGGCAGCTTATGTGGCCTACTTGGTGAGATGTCGCCAGGGGCTTCTGGCCACAAGGCACCAACTCCAGCGCCTGTTAAATAGGATCAACAGGTGAGGCGGAAGGGGGGGCTGTTCATGACCTTTGACCTCAAGAATGATATTCCTTTATTAATTATTAATGGAGAAAATAGTGGGGTCTTTACAGTAAACGTGTACTTGTCTTATAAAAGACAATTATTTTTTTAGTTACAACACAAGTGTCGGTATCATTATACTCCGTCATTCATGGAGGGAAATAAAATTAAAGTGTCATTGTTATTTTAGGAATATATGTTGTTGGAAGTGAAAGTAACATACAAATATTCTGCCATTTGCTGTAAAGATATAATTTGTTTGAAATTGTGTCTTGTGAGGTTGAAAAGTGTTATTCTCTCAGAATTTGTTTGAAATTGTATCTTGTGAGATTGAAAAGTGTTATTCTCTCATAACTTGAAATGGTTTCTAGCATTACATATTTTAAACAATTGTTATTGACTGATCAGAGAGAAAGAGATCTGCAGCAAACACCTGAGCAACATCTGTGCCAGGAATTTCTTGGAGAAAAGAGAGAAGCACATGTGGAAGTTTATTACAGAATTTCAGAAGCTGTCCATGTCTGATGAGAAGGTAGGAACATTTTATTGCAACTTTGGTCAAAAACAAATAAATTTTTGTTTTAAAACTTAGTTAAGACTGTATCTGCTGACTTTGTGTGTGTGTGTTGTGAGGTGGCGGGGGTTTGCCAGTTAGTCATTTGTGGTCTGCACGGTGGGAAGGGCCAGTAAACAGCAGCAATCAATTTCCTTTCTGGTTAAACCCGATAGGTTTTCCGCTTTCAAATCTTGAATTAATCAAACTCTTGTGATTGAATTTGGAGTGTCGAAAATGTCTGGCAACTCATGCATCTGCAATACTTTGGCTGTTGATATTGCCAGAAGAGGAGGCATTCAACGAGGGGGACCATCATCACACCACTGTTGCATGCTCCGGCCAAACCCCTCCTGGCCGTTGCAAAGTATTGACTTAAAACATTCATTGCAACTTCGCCCCAAAAAATAATTTATAATTGCCCAGTGGTATGAGCCATGTGACCCTCATTAACTTAAAATAATGTATAATTGCCCAGTGGTATGAGCCGTGTGACCCTCATTAACTTAAAATAATGTATAATTGCCCAGTGGTATGAGCCGTGTGACCCTCATTAACTTAAAATAATGTATAATTGCCCAGTGGTATGAGCCGTGTGACCCTCATTAACTTTTGCCTACACATTTGAATTTGTATTTTTTCTAATCATAGTTGAAGCTTGACCTATATTATTTTAAATAGAAAAAAATAAACGTTTCCCAACTATAGTGTTTGTTTGCGCACCCCCCCCCCCCTTCCCAATGACACTATTTAGCATGAGTTCTTCCCCCCAAATATCAAGTCATATAATAAAATTGACTGTAGATTCTAGGTCGACAACCTGTTTGTATTAGTGTGCCAAAGTAAGATTTCTAATTCATCCACCTTGCCAATAACTAATATGTCTATTATTTAAGATGAATTTTTTTTATTAATTTATAATTATTTTGTTGGTCTTCCACATGCCAGTGAAAATCACTGTGCCAGCTAAGTCTCGCACACATGCCATAGGTTGCCAACCCCTGCGACCCCTGCTGTAAAAGGAAACACAATGACAATTATGATTGAGACTTTTAAAAAAAGATTATTCTGGACCAGTTTACTAAATATTTTATGAATTTTACTTTCCAACAAGTTTTATTCACTCTCCTCTTTTGAGAAGGCCGCTCCCTATAAATTGATTCAGATATTGATCAGAGTGCCTTCTATAACTCTGATTCAGATATTGATCAGAGTGCCTTCTATAACTCTGATTCAGATATTGATCAGAGTGCCTTCTATAACTCTGATTCAGATATTGATCAGAGTGCCTTCTATAACTCTGATTCAGATATTGATCCTAGTCTGATGCAGAGCCAGACAAAACTATAAGAAACTATAAGAAAAAAAAATTATTGCTCTTTTTTTTTCCACATGACAAAAAAATATTTCCTTTGAATTGCTCAACATCTGTTACAGATTGATCATGTGGAGAAGTTCCTGCTGTTCTTGTATCAAGAAATGTCAACAGATCCTCTGTGGAAAGGTACTGATACCTCTAACTGTTGTAAAAGCTAATTTATTGTGGAAATGTCTAAAAATGTCTAATGTTAGCCTTCCCGTTCAGTTTCTTCTTTTCAGACAATAATTTTTTTATTCTGCCGAGATTTTGTTTTCTCCACGGTACAAGCAGTGTTTTGTTTAATGATCATTTTCTGTCATACATTTTTTTTTTTTTTAAACTTACTAAATCTTCAAACGACTATCTAATGCAGGGGTCTCAAACTCAAATTACCCGAGGGCGGCGCATGAGGTAGAGTCTGAGTGAGACTGGGCCGCAACAAGTATTCCACAAAAAGCGATTACAAATTCAATAAAGTTCAATTGTTACAATCGGCTCAACATTTATTTATAACAAATAAAAACATTAAGGGCGTCATATTGCATGTCATTATTATTGACATTATATTCTTAGTAAGAAAAGAAAATTCCCGGTAATCTAAAGTAAAACTATTCAGCTAATAAATGCTATGAAAATAATGAGTTTCAGAGACGAAAATGCATAAAATGAAAATAGGGCAATTCCCACTCGCAATTTTAAAACTAAAAGATGTTCAAAGAGAAGGCAGGAGCAGGCAATATTGATGAATTATTGATGAGAAGGAAGGTGCTGTTTTAAGGAGAATGAATTTAGACTTTTTATCCTAGAAAAGGCCTTTTTGACAAACCCTATTTTGAAAGTGACCAAGCTGACGTACTCGGAATGACCCTCACTCATCATGCTTGCACAATAGTGGCAATTTTAAGAGGGATTCTTTGACACTGTGTCAGATTGCTACAATTTACACACTTATTGTTGTGCATTACCCACTAACTGGCTTTTTAAACTCGTGATATATTTTGTTTATATAATATTCTAAGTGTGTTTTCTCAAACCACACTTTGGCCATGTTTGGCCAAACTTTTAGTCCGACTTTAAAACGGTTTGTACCATTATGATCTATGCCCAAACCTATACAAACATAATAAAAATCAGAAGTAAGCTAGTCGATGAGATTCAACTGAAACCGTCATGGAGGGTCACATTATAGCTATGATAATGGGGGAAACGCGCAGGTCGCATGAACACTAAACTTTGCTGTCAAGTAGTGGGCCGCAAAATATCGTCTTGCGGGCTGTGAGTTTGAGGCCCCTGATATAACTGGATGTAGAACATAAATGGATAAAATTATATAAGCAATCTAGTGATACGTCTCTTTAAAGAGCCCATTTCTCGCCTCCACCAGCTGCCACGGATAAACAGATAGAAGATGGCCGCCAAGCTGTTGAAAGATTTTTGATGAGTCGCATCTACACTCACGCCATGTTCCCCAACGGGGATGGTGATATTCTTAGGGACCAGTAAGTCATTTTCCATCACATCGCAGCATCACCAACATTTAGTCACAGACATCTGTTGTTAGAGCAGAACATTTAACATGCCAGTGAAAAGAGCAAGCAACCCTATTGTGATTGTAAAATGTCTTGTTAATGAAACAGCAGAGTGCTCTCCCTTAGATCTGCAACTGGGAGAAATTCTGATTATGGATTATTGTAAATTTCAATTTCTAAAATTTGTTTTTCTTAAATATTTCATTCACATTTTAATCTGTAATTAAACTCTGATAATCCCTTTCTCACTGTCACAGGGAGTAGCTAGAGTTTGTTTTAGTCCTTGAAATTGCCACCACAAAAACCACAAAACGTGAAGAGAACACATCAAAACTAAGCCATGCAAAGTATGTGGAGTGCACAGACACCCTCCCCCTGAAAAAAAACCTCACTAAAAAAACAAAAAAAAACTATTCTAAAAAAAAACTGTCTCATTGGAAACAGAAACTTTTATGGTTTTAATCCTTCTTGACCCAATGTAGATTTCATCTGATGCTAACATTTCCTGCCTTAACTTCAGGCTTCTCCAAGAACACTTGAAGAAATTGAGCAAGGTGATAACCCCGTCACACAAAGACCTGCGCATCCCCAGGATGTATCACCTTGAATGTCCGTGGCCGGCGGCACAGAAAGAAATCTATATGATCAACGCCTATAGAGTGAGTGCGACCTGTTTCATTGGATCATCTTTACTTTGCTGAAGTATTATGTCCAACACAGTAACATTTATTTTTTAAAGTAAAATGGACAGTGAGAACAGTTTTTGAACCACCGTTTTTATGATTTATAGTGTTAAAGATCCTCATGAGCTTGTATATCAAATACACAGCACAGTAACCTAAAGGGGGTTGAGGACCACTGGTATAAGTAATAATTATTTATAACTAAGGTTATATTTCAAATACACAGCACCTAGGAGAGTTAATATTTTACTTAGCCATCAAGACATTTAAAACCATTAGACATGTGTTGAGAATGGACTATACAACAACACACTAATAATTTTAAATTGTTGCAAGAAAAGTGATAGATCAGCCAACTGGGGCTCACATATCCATTATAACTGTGATAGGCCAGCCCACTAGAGCTCACACATCCATGTCAACCTTGATCGGCCAGCCCACTAGAGCTCACACATCCATCTCAACTCTGATGGGCCAGCCCACTAGAGCTCACACATCCATCCCAACTATGATGGGCCAGCCCACTAGAGCTCACACATCCATCTTTACTCTGATGGGCCAGCCCACTAGAGCTCACACATCCATCTCAACTCTGATGGGCCAGCCCACTAGAGCTCACACATCCATACCAGCCCACTTGAGCTCACACAGCCATCCCAACTATGATGGGCCAGCCCACTAGAGCTCACACATCCATCTTAACTCTGATGGGCCAGCCCACTAGAGCTCACACATCCATCTCAACTCTGATGGGCCAGCCCACTAGAGCTCACACATCCATCTCAACTCTGATGGGCCAGCCCACTAGAGCTCACACATCCATCGCAACTCTGCTTTCATTCACCAGGCATCCCCTGTGGTCCTGAATCAAATGTGGACATAATAAACAGCTGCTCATTTGTATGATCTGAATTTTGACCCTCTCTTTTAACTTGTTTCTATTTCTTGTCCCATTTTGATCAGCGATGTCTGCTGATGAAGGCTCATAGTCGAAACATTCTTGTCTCATCGTCCTGTCCCTTAATTCAAGCTTCCACACACCTTGTTTAACTATATCCTTAACACGGCTTGAACACAGACCTTCATTTATTATCCTTTATGCCCCCAAGACTCCTAAAGACAAGATCCAGTGTGTCCTGAGGTGTTCTCAGACCATTATGAACCTTTTGAGTATGGCCAATGAGAAATCTGTGCCAGCAGCCGATGACTTCATGCCAGTGTTGATTTATGTCATCATCAAAGCCAATCCATTTGGACTCCTCTCTACCATACAGGTAATGTTAAAGTCAATCTACTTGGTCTTCTCTCTACCATACAGGTAATGTTAAAGTCAATGTACTTGCTCTTCTCTCTACCATACAGGTAATGTTAAAGTCAATCTACTTGGTCTTCTCTCTACCATACAGGTAATGGACAGCTTCGTGGTTCTTTGAATGCTATGGATTTTTTTTTTTTTTTTTTCAATTTAACTTAAAGCTTTCAAATAACCTTCTCATTTTATTGGAGAAGGAATTATGTTACTTAAATTGATGAGATTTAAAAGAAGTGCAAAATCAGACATAAAAATGATACCCATAGACCATGTTTATTTAAAAAATTGTATTGAATTTTTTTTTTTTTTCAATCTTAAGTTACCCATTCTAATTTAATATTCTGAGTTTGCTTAATGTAATTTGTTTTAAAATGGAACGGTCTCATGAATTACAAACAAGGAAGGAAAGAAATATAGCAGAGAGCGCATACCAGCTGTGTGCAAGAAAAGTTAAGACGGGGATCCTTGACAGCTTTAAATAACAACTGGTGACAGAGAAATGAATATTTCAGCTGATTGCCTTTCTCTGCAAACAATAACTTTTTTAAATTAAAAAAAATAATTTTTTTTAAAAAGGGACATCAGGCAATAAAAGCTTTTAATTTTAATTTAGAAAGAGCTTGACAAGATGTTTGTTTATGTACAACATGAGAAAAGTATACAACGTGTAAGAGAAGTATACAACACATAAGAGAAGTGATAACACATAAGAAATATACACTGCATGGGAGAATTATACAATCCACAAAAGAAGTATACAATACAATAGAGCAGTATACAATATATGAGTATAAGAGAAGTATGCCATACAGTAAGAAGTATAAAATACAGTAAGAAGTATACAATACGGTAAGAAGTAAACAATACAGTAAGGGAAGTATGCAATACATAAGAGCATTATATAATACAGTATGAATTGTGTTGATGAGGTTAACTGGAGATGCAAAAATTTTAATAATTAAATATAGCTAAATATATATTTTTTAATGCTCTACCTACCCCACAGTATGTGAACAGCTTCTATGAAAACAGACTCCAGGGAGAGGAACAGTATTGGTGGTTGCAGATGACCTCTGCTGTAGAGTTTATCAAAACTATGGAGTACTCAACATAATCCTGTGCTTCTGGTACTGTTTGAGATTTGCTCCAGCCGTGCAAGCAGCTCTATGACATAGGGTGATTGAAAATGGATCAGTACCTGTAGAGCAACTGAACTGTGCAGTAGTTTCAGCACAAGTACTGGCTTCCGCTTTTTGCCATGAAGGCTATTCACGGCGTTTGGTTCCATGTGCATTCTCAAAGACTTTTGGAGGTTCTGCCCGAGGATGGATGGCCATTACAGGGACATCCACATCAGTTGTCCAGATAAGATTTGTTTACTCACAGTTCACGTTTCATTGACCGCTCACTAGGCCTCCTCTCACCCACTGGATCAAAGGAACATTGACACGCCAGCTTTTGTCTGGGATGTCGTGCGGCTTGGCCAGCTGCCCTGTAGATATCAACCCTCTGTGTACTTATTAGCATCACATAGGATTGTTTTTTTTTATTGAAATTATATATTTTTTCATACTTAGAGTTCATTAGCATAATGTTACCATTATTACCTTAAAAAACAAAGCTAACACAGTTTTGAATAATTAATATGTCATTTAAGTTTTATGCCAGTCCCTTAGATTATTGGCTCAGCAAGCAGTATATTTTGTAATGCCCAAGTGTGTCTTCTTTGGTGAAACATCCTTGTTCTTCATGGGTCAAGCCTGTCCATGTTGATAAAGGCACCACAGGTCACGAAGGACGGACCCAGCCTTCACACCACAGGCCAGGGAAGAAAGCCCCAGCCTACACACCACAGGTCAGGGAGGACAGACCCAGACTTCACACAATAGGTCAGGAAGGACAGACCCAGCCTTCACGCCACAGGCCAGGAAGGACAGACCCAGCCTTCACGCCACTGGCCAGGAAGGACAGACCCAGCCTTCACACCTTAGGCCAGGAAGGACAGACCCAGACTTCACACAATAGGTCAGGAAGGACAGACCCAGCCTTCACGCCACAGGCCAGGAAGGACAGACCCAGCCTTCATACAATAGGTCAGGAAGGACAGACCCAGCCTTTACACCACAGGTCAGGAAGGAAGGACTAACTCAGCCTTCCTCTGGTATGGGATATAAGATGGTGATTAAATTCCCTCATTTAGAATTTGAAGTTTTCAGGGGCCATAATTAAATGTTACGCACTAAATTACTGACTTTTCAAAATTTGTCAGTAAATCTATTTTTTTTAAAAATCACATAATTCCTGATGTCGTCTTAAATTTTTGATTATACAGTGTTGTTTATGGTTTACATAAATGTTGTATTAAGTTTTGGTTTAAGGAGATCAGACATTTGTCCCGAAAGCAGTGTACAAATGGAGAGAAAAAATTATCTTATTCAAATTTAATAACAAATACATATTCATATTTCTATACAGTGTCCCATACAGCATTAATTTTATGTTTTTCTATTCAATATCAGATTTCTGAATTTTATTTGATTTCTATTTTAAAGCAGCAGTTGTTCAGTATTGAAAGTGGAGTATTTTACCTTTGTTGTTGATATTTTTTCAACGGAGCAAGTTTATCTCTAATAGAGTAATTCCAAATTAAATTATTTAAATTTATATCTGCTAGTGTAATTCAAAAGTGAATTTATCCGTGTTTGAGGAATTCCACAGTAATTTCGTCTCCATTATAGGGTGTACATTGTTATCTTAGTTTCTACCGTCTCTAATAATTATGCCGTTAACATGAAATCAGCAGTCATGTTTTTGTTTTTTTAAAAGGAAACAAAATTGCTGTTCATCTTGTTTACATCAAGTTTTCATTTTCAAACAGACGAATCCATTGATGTCTTATAATTGTATCCAGACCTCCATACATATTTGAAAGACCACATACATTGATTCCATTGATTGATGCATTGTTTTTATTTTTGAGTTTGTTTTTTAAAAGATGTAACAACTGTGATCTTGATCTTTACACACACACAGAAAAAGATCTTTGTCTATTGACTTGCCAAAATTGTTCTTGAGGATTAGTTCCCCCCATCTTTGCGACTTAACGCTGTGCTGGATATTTTTCATCAGCCCACACAAGATTTGCTTACTAAGCATTTTCAGCTTTCACTATTTATGTCATGCACATTTGTTTCTCGAACTCCATTCCATTTTTTGAATATTTTTTTCTATTTTTTCTTTGTGTCATTGGAACGGAAAATATTTCCCGTAAAGATAAGTAATCCTTGTTATTAATTGGCATGTGTGTCTACGATTATGTGACACATGTGTCTATGATTATTTAACATATGTGAATGATTGTTCGGCATATGGGTCTGATTATTTGGCGTATGTGTCTAGGATTATTTTGCATGTGTCTGATTGTTGGGCATGTGTCGTTGATCATTCGACATATGTGAATGATTGTTTGGCTTGTGTCTATGATTATTTGACATGTGTCTGATTGTTTGGCATATGTGTCTATGATTGTTTAGCATGTGTCTGCTTATTTGGCATAGGTGTCTATGATTATATAGCATGTGTCAGTGATTATTCGGCATTTGTGTCTATGATTGTTCGCCCTGCTGTTTGAGGTGGTAGCAGCAGTCATGTTTTGTTCCGATTCAATGATTTAAAAAGAAATAATTTTTTAATAGAAAACTTGTTACAATATTCTTTTTTTTAAAGCGGACTCACTCTGCTGCTGTGCCTGCATTTGATTTGAGTCCAGTGGTCTCCAAATTGTTGGCCACGTGCACTCCTTCAAGAACGTATCTGTCTCTCATGGAAGTTCATATCTCCTTTATGATACTTTCTCCTCAATTTCATCATTGTTTTAAAGCGTTGGGTTCTGTGACAACTTACATACAAGTAAAGATAAGATTTGCGTCAAACTAAAGAAGTTTTTGGTTGACATAAAAAATATAAAAAATCCTCCTAAATATTGTGTAATTTTTGTCTAAAGTTAATGCTCCATATAAACCTATAGCAGCTTTAGAATGTCAAATAAATATGTATAAAATTATGTACTGGTTAGCAAAAACAAGTATTTTTTATTGCTTTGAATTATCAAAAGTCATTTAACATTAATTTACTAATTATGATTTGTTTCATATCTTTTATTTTATAATGTAAATTGTTTTGTAAAAAAAAAACATTTATTTATTCTCTGCTTGTAAAATCCTTCTCTGTGATGTGTCCTCGGTGGCGAGGTAGGTGTGATTTCCTAAATCGGGTGTAAAATCTCATTTGTACCTACATTTTCCCTCTCTATTTATTGTTGATTGCAAACTCTGGGGCATTGTCCGACAGTCATCCTGCTAACTCTAGAACAGTATCGACTACACAGGCTTAGAAGTTATCGCTACAATCGCCTTCAGTTATCTGTCACTCTCAGTTCTGAGATAAAATGTCTGGTATAAATCACAATCTAATGACATGGCGTAAAGCATTGTCATTTTTTTATTGTTTTTCTTGGCAACCTTTGAAACGCAACCCATTTTGGGTCCAAGGGGCTCAATTTCTGACATTGTGACAGGAGCTATGTAACATGATTAAAAAATTCTTCGGTGGGGCGCCACACATGAAACGTTTGCAATCCTCCGTTGCTGTAGAGGCCACTACTTTTAACCACGGCTGGCGGTCATATGACAACATATCTCATTGTTTTTAGTATTGACTGCCCTCATTAAACCAGAGCTTTTTATCTCTAACCTATGACCTTATTATAAGAGTGGTCCAGGTTCAGATCTAGACAGCTGTGATTCAAACAATATTTGTTGGAATAGATGTAAGGAAAGCCTGTTTGTTCAATGTAGAGTTAGTTTCATAAATTTTTGCACTTAAAAAATCATGGTCCTCTGTACATGAGGTTTCTACTTGTCGTAAAAGTTCATTTTCAGCTGACAGCTTCATTCATATTTTATATTCATGCGTTTTCAAATATTAAAATGTTCCTATTTTATATTCTGTTGTTTGATTAGTTAAACCATTTATTTCGTCATTGCAATACATTGACCTTTTATGAAAAATGAAAATTTGTACTTAAATAACATTTTATTTATCTCTCTCTTTTTTTTTTTAATAGTTTTAAATTATTTTGTATTTATGGTTCAACTGTTCTAGTTAAAAGCTGCATAAATTCAAATTTATTGATTATTTTGTGCTGCAGCTGCACTCTCTTTGCCCATTAGATCAACACAGGACATTCCACAGTATAAATATCATGATGTTTGCAGTTAAAACTGAAGACATTGTGTAGTTCACATGGTTGGTCACAGATGTTTATAATCTGTTAGAGATTGAGTGCAAATTCAAAATTTTTAACTGACCTTACCTACTCCATTGGGAGTATTTGTCCTGATGTGATTTTACGTGGATAACGGGGGGGGGGGGGGGGGGGTTGTGTTTATTACTCTCTTTTTTTTTTAAATACCGTATTTATCGGCGTATAACATGCACTTTTTCTCCCTGAAAATAGGGGGAAAAAGATGTGTACGTGTTATATGCCGATATAATGTTAAGGACCCATAGTACATACTACATAGCAGTGCGAATGGTGCGTGTTATACACCTGTGCGTGTTATACATTGATAAATACGGTATTTTATTTTTACAAACTCACATGACGACCACAGCAGAATCTGAGTCTTGAAAATCTACATGTGAAGGAAGTTTGAACACTTTCCTTAAGTTATTGATTGATATTAAATGGATGTCAAGGTGCTTTGTAAAGCAAATATTCTGAAAGGAGTAAGTTGTGACTGAACACATTCGTTGAATTACATAACAGTTGCCAAAGACAAATGTATGTGTCTCAAATTGTGTTTACTTAACTCTGTCCGATTCAACTTGGCAAGTGAATTCCTGGTACTCAGTTCTTATGTCATTACAACATACAATCTGAGTGAGCATATTCCTGGTACTCAGTTCTTATGTCATTACAACATACAATCTCAGTGAGCATATTCCTGGTACTCAGTTATTATGTCATTACAACATACAATCTACTTTTAGGTTTCTATTTTTGATATGCTTAAAAATACATTGTAATAAATTTTTTTTACTATTTTATTACTTAAACAAATTCTCTGTGGGCTTTGACACTGATTTATTCAGTCGTATGAATTTAATTATTATGAACGTATATATTCCAAGTGTTAAAATATGATGAAGTACTTTTTTTTTATATCTCAGCACATTCTGTTATATTTTCCAACGTGGATGCAAGTGATTGCCAAATATTCTTTTTATTAGGCATTGAGTAATTAAGTCAACTTCATCTACATCTATATAACTATGGTATATTCTATCAAAGGGTCTCTAAGCAATTTTATTCATTGTACCCTTTGGCAGCCTGGGGTAACTTCAAACCCGAACATATTAAACGTAAAGTTTGGGGTAATCAAATCATAGGTGCCATTTTTTTTAAAAAGTAGGGGGAAAACTCAAAGTCGCAGAACCCCTGAAATGTATCAAAGGATTCATCCCTGGTGCGATCAGCCCAACTGAACTCTGGGTAAATTGTATTTAAGACAATGAAACCACTGACCTCAGCTAAGCCACAGTTGTGATATTATTTCCAATCTATTCTGTCGCCATGGCACAGTGACTTAAATGTGAGTCTCTTGATTATTTCTGTAGTAGCTGCAGTAGCTCCAAAGTAATGCAGCCTGTAGCTGCAGTAGCTGCCAAGTAATGCGGCCTGTAACTGCAGTAGTTGCCAAGTAATGCGGCCTGTAACTGCAGTAGCAGCCAAGTAATGCAGCCTGTAACTGCAGTAAGAGCCAAGTCATTTGGACTGTAACTGCAGCAGCAGCCAAGACGAACTCCCCTGTTTTTATCATCATCATCATTTGATGGTAGGAACATGATTTCACCTTGTCCATATGTCGAAGAAAAAAATGATTTCCCTAGAAAGAAGTATGTAAGTATTGCATTGGGCTGTAAGACACATTCTGCTGGTCAGCTGCTGGCACTGCTACCAATGGAAATGCAAAGGGGCTGGGGGTGGGGGGGGGGGTCATTGGGTGTATATTTATTTAAAAAATTTTTTGTTTTCTTTACTAGCACTTGGTTACTTAAAATACTCCATCATCAATCAAATTGTTCACATACACCTCAGGGTTTCCCTCAGACAATTGTGACTGAAACATTCTCATTTTCATTTTGTAGGTGCAACCATTTGTAGATGGACAGGGCGTTGTGCCTATTGTTATGTTGTGATTTAAGTCTTCAATCATGTATTTCCCCCTTTTTTAATTCTCTTAACATTAAAAAAAAAATTGAAAATTTACTTTGCTTGTAAATGTTCTAATTTTTACCATACCATCCAACCATATTCACTGTTATAATTTGACTTCTTGTTTTATATGTAAATTTTCACCTTAATATATATATATATATAATCATTATGCTATGTCTTGTGTGTAATTTGTACTTAAACCTAATGAACTCCAGCCATTTCTTATCAGTTTAAATCATTGATGTTGCTGCATTTATCTATAAATATATGGGTGATAGGAGAACTCTCAATGTGACCCCATTCTTATTGAGGTCACCTCTAATAATAGTTGAGATGAGTCTCAAACTGACTCTCCTTTGACAATTCCCTTCTTCCAAGTGTTGCTGGCTGAATTCTACAATCTGCAATGTAATTTCATTTATCCATATTTAGGTGTGAATTTCTCAATGTATTTCAAAGTAGCAAGTTACTATGATTTCAATGGTTCTAAAACTTTCACAATATTCGAGACTAGGCCCCCCCCCCAAAAAAAAATCAGATTTTCAGAGGACACTGACAAATTATGAGGTTTGTGTCCTCATTGACAATTTAATTGACCCCAAAGAAAACTTTATTTAGGAATCACTGATTGGTAATGCTTCTTCATCAGTCAGTATTCCCAGTAATGAACCAACCGGTGTCATTGAAAGATGATCCTTGTTTTTAAACTATATTATGGTATGAAATGGTGTTGTTACTTTCAGTTAACAATATATTTCTTTTTGTAGATTCAGGATGACAGTAAAGGGTTTTGTACTTCTTCTTGTGACTTGCTCTATTCATTTTTTTTTTTTTCTTTTTAACTTGAGTCTCTTGAAAAACTACATTTACAAATTTAAATGAAAACTTTGATTATATATAATAAATAAGTGACTGAAAAAGAAATAAAATAACTTGTTTTTAAACTATATTATGGTGTGAAATGGTGTTGTTACTTTCAGTTAACAATATATTTCTTTTTGTAGATTCAGGATGACAGTAAAGGGTTTTGTACTTCTTCTTGTGACTTGCTCTATTCATTTTTTTTTTTTTCTTTCTAACTTGAGTCTCTTGAAAAACGACATTTACAAATTTAAATGAAAACTATGATTATATATAATAAATAAGTGACTGAAGACGAAATAAAATATAACTGACATTTTGCCTGTTCTGAACTAAGCGCTTGGGCCTGATTTAAACGCTCAGCCTCTTTATTACTGCTCTCACTGTGCCAATCAATGGAGACATTTGTGCCACTAATCAATCGTTTAAGCTACTTCCCAGGAGACTTGATGGTTAGTTGCCGGACAATTAACATGTGGATAATGATTTTGAACGTTTTTGATCAGGCCACCGTGCAGATGACCCGTGTCTAAAAGCTGGACCCTTCGGTTTCATGTCATTTTAACATTGTCTCTTTTTAAAATCATGGTAATGAGTTTTACTGAATGATTTTTTCAGACAAACAAATATTATCTGTATTACTAGTCTAAGCAATAATTTTTTATTTTTTTTTTATTTTTGTACCGGTACATTTAAAAAAAAAATTGAATTTGATAAGTTGATTTTAATAAGCTTGGATAATGAAACGTATTACAAATTTAAAGGACTGGTCCTTTCTAAATATATTTTAAATAAGGCTAAAACAAAAAACTTTAAGCGATTTCTAAGCAATTCCATTTTCTCTGTCAATCATAAATGTATGGCAAGAATGTTTATCACTTAGTGGTATATGAATGTGTTTCTTGTCTCACTCTAACACCCTTGGTGAAGTAAAATAAATTGGCCAAACATTTGTTCTTGTCTTGTTCATATTTTTAATATAACTCTTAACAGATTACTTTTAGAGGTGGATATATATTTTACTGTAAAGTTAGACGGTATTGTTTGAGGAGCATTCTTTGTGCACATGAAAATTGTGAAAGACTTAAATGTGAATGTTGTGATGATGTCTGTGAGCGGTGCATCATATGTTTATATAATAGCTGGTCGTATTATGTACAAACTTTGAAAGGGGTTCTCAAAACACTTGCTCTCCTGTGCTTTGTCATTCATGTAAGGGTCATTTTTTTTTTTAAAGTGGTAAACACTTGGTCAGTTTGAACAACTGTTGTTTACACTAGAACATAATTAATAGATTTGACAATTTTTTTGAATCCATTCCAATAAACATGGTATTGAGTACTCACCTATGTGAAGTTCTTGTCTTTATTTTTTAATGTTTTTGTGTGTGTGTGCATTATGAGAATCATTTTGTGACCAAAAAAGTAAATTTACAAAGTAAAGGTCATTGGGTGAGGCACTGTTTGCAGAATTAAATAAATAGATTTTTTTACATACCTCTATATTTCTATTAAGCAGCCTACTTTAAAACTGATAATATAAAGAGTCCAATTGCAAACCCTGCTAAGTCACTTTAGATTGATTTTGAGAAAAACACATTTTTCTAAAACACAATGATGCGCTAATCCTAGGATTCTGGTTTTTGTTCCAGTTGTAAGATTAGCTGTAAATGATATATTTTTTTAACATAAAATATAGCTAAATGGGCATTTTTGCATTGATAATGCATTTTAAAGTTATTACTTAGCAGGTTTTGAAAATGGTTTACATACTTAGACTTAGCAGCTTTTGAACGAGTTTAAAAATATACTTAGCAGCTTTTGAAAGAGGTTTAAAATACTTATGAGGATTTGAAAATGGTCTAAATCACTTAGGAAGTTTGACAGCCAACAACAAATTTAAAAGATATAGGGG